CTAATCTTCAGGTAATCACATTCTCACTTTGTCGCATAACCAGAGGGACGATTATCATTTATTTAATAAGGGGAAAAATTTACCGTACGAGCCTTGGTGAATCTCGGTGTTGGGCACCAGAGACTGTGTGAGTGAGGAATGTTGATGAGAGTTCTAGCTACCTGATAACAAGAGAGGTCAAACAGAGATAGAGCGAGCGCCAGTGTTAGGTCAGGTTGGTTCATATCTTTTATAAATGGTTTAAGCCCGTAGCCCCTCTGACCTGCCATGTAAACAAGCGTTCACAGCTGCTCATGTGGTGGAAACTTAACATTTGGTGCCCAGTCATTTTCAATTCGTTATTTCCGATGTTTTTCACTTTTTTATTCATTAAAGTCTATGTAATAAGTGTTGGTTTTTTTGGAATTTATTTTTATTTTACGTTTTTTGGTAAATTTTTGACGCAATTGCGAATTTTTTAGGTGTATTTTTTTCGAAATTTGTCAATATTTTACATATTTAGTTATTTATAATTTAAATCCCTTTTTTTAACCTGATTTTTGTTTAGTTACAGAACACTGAACTGGTGAAGACAATGCCATTCTCGACGCTGTTGTTGGCTGTGCTGCTCCCCGTCCTGGGCTCCGGTAAGGTCGACCATCTCACACTACTGGTGACTAAACTCAACTTTACAGAATCCTTAGCGACTCACACGGGGCACTTTAGAGCCGGTCAGACACTCATATTCGGTAATAAACCAACAACATTACTGTCCCAGATATATTTACGTGTTATTGTTAATAGAATGAGTTTATAGACACTAATAGACCTTAATACATTTCAATTAGCATTTATTGGCCCTATTTCCCCGTGCCGTTTACATATTAATATTGGTATTATAATATAAGAGCCCCAAAATTATCAATAGAGTCATTAATAGGGATATATTTTACACTAATAGGCACGGATAAATATAAAGTAGTATTTACTGAATATATAAAGGCTGTAGGTAAACAAACAAAGGTTCATACGATAATTAATTCCTCATAAGTTAAGATATAAAAAAACACTTAAACAACCGACTTACGATAAACAAAATCACAAAACCTAACAAAAAATATCAAAACAGTTTACACAGATTTTAACTTAACTAACCACGTTCACTTAACACCAAAACACAAGTTAAAATCGATTCACGTGTTAATGTTCTCTTACAGCATATTAACTTACGTCATTTAACTGAGACAAAGTGAACGTATCTAGTTAAGGTTGATTCTGAACGTAATTTTTAATCTTATATTTATGGACTTTTTTGGGGGGGTGAGGGAGGGTTTTTTATTATAAGTCAATGTATTTTTTTATGTAATATATCTTAAATTATGGGATTAAATCGTATGAAAGTTTACGAGGTCTCATTCTGTCTGCTGGAACTATAATAAACGAAATTAATGGCTTGTTTAATTAGCGGAATAGCCTCTCTTTCTCTCTTCCCGGCCTTCCTCCTCTTCCCCAGCCACCCTCCTATCACCCCTCCTTCCGCTCCCCTCGTCTCCCACCTCCCCACCCCCCTCCCTCCAGCCATAATTTATTACTGTCAGACAAGTTAGAATATTACACGGTATTACCAGAAGATTAAATACCCTAGTTTATTTTCTCCCCCTGAAGAGTAACCACACTATCGTTAACCTAACCTAACCTATCCCAACCTAACCTAACCTATCCCAACCTAACCTAACCTATCCCAACAAAACCTAACCTATCCCAACCTAACCTAACCTATCCAACCTAACCTAACCTATCCCAACCTAACCTAACCTATCCTAAACTAACGCTAACATAACATAACCTAATCCCGCCAGGTATAGCATTAGGCTGGTTAATCATCAGGTGCAATAAGCTAGGAGGTGTCTAATCTTCAGGTAATCCTTCACAGGTAGATAATTAAGGTAAGGGTCAAGGTGTAATTAGTTAGGTGAAAGTTATAATTGTGTTCAGGGTATTTAATGTAACGCTATTCGTTTGGATTAGCCTATTAAATTTCTTCTTGTTTTGGGGGAATGCTGAGAGAGAGAGAGAGAGAGAGAGAGTCATCTCACGCGACAAAGCTGTGTACCAAACATATACTCAACTGCCCATCACAATTACATACCAGGAAACGTTTCTTTTTTCTTTTACAAAATTGTATTACTAAACGTTTGTGTACAATGCGTATGTGTGTGTGTGTGTGTGTGTAGACATTCTCTCTCTCTCTCTCTCACCTCCCTCCCTCTTTCACCATACCTAACCTAACCCTCTCACACTCCCTCCCTCTCTCTCACACTCTCTCCCTCTCTCTCACACTCCCTCCCTCTCTCTCCCTCCAACAGAGCTGGTGGTGTCGGTGGTGGAGGAGAGGACAGTAAGAGGAGGTTGGCAGGAGGTCAATCGGCCTCGTGTTGACCTCAGCGAGTCGGCCAACGTGACAGGTCTGCTGGGCAAGACGGCCGTGTTGAACTGTCGTGTACGGAACATTGGTAACAGGACGGTAAGTGTGTGTGTGTGTGTGTGTGTGTATGTGTGTGTGTGTGTGTGTGTGTGTGTGTGTGTGCGTGTTGGTTAAGAGCTCTGGATCTGTTTAGCTCTTTATCTCTTCCACTCTCTTTCTCTTTCAGTCTCTATCTTTATCGCTCTCTCTCTCTCTCTCTCTCTAATATCCATCTGCCTATCTGTCTGTCTATCTACCTATCCCTCACACTCTCCCACACTCTCCCTCCACTCTCTCCTCCCACTCTCTCCCTCACACACTCTCTCCCTCTCAACAGGTATCATGGGTGCGTCATCGAGACATACACCTGTTGACTGTAAGTTTTACCTCCACCTCAGACGAGAGATTCTCCGCACGACACCCAGGGTTCAGATGACTGGTTGCTGATGATCCATTACCTCCAGCACCGAGACGAGGGGTTGTACGAATGTCAGATCTCCACCACGCCTCCTACCAGTCATTTCATCCATCTTTCAGTTGTTGGTGAGTGTTAGAGGTGTTAGAGGAGTGTTAGAGGGTGTTAGAAGTGTTAGAGTGGTGTTAGAGGGTGTTAGAGGTGTGAAGGTGTTAGGGGGTGTTAGGGGGTGTTAGAGGTGTTAGGGGTGTTAGAGGGTGTTAGGGGGTGTTAGGGGTGTTAGGGGTGTTATAGGTGTTAGACGGTGTTAGAGGTGTTAAAGGGGGTGTTGGGCAGTTGTTAGAAGTGTTAAAGGGGTGTTAGAGTGTGTTAGGGGGTGCTAGAGTGGTGTTAGGGGGTGTTATAGGGTGTTATAGGGTGTTAGGGGGTGTGAAAGGGTGCTAGGAAGTAGTGCTAGGGGGTGTCAGATCTCTACCACGCCTCCTACCAATCATTTCATCCATCTGTTCGTGAGTGTCAGGGAGTGTCACGGGGTATCAGGAAGTGTCAAACTAGTGTCTGATCACCTGTCACACCTGTCACACCTGTTATATATACATAGGTGTGCATAGTGTAAAGTTACATACATACTGTACATGAGCTGTAATGTACAGTAAATCCACGTAAAAGCCTACGGAATCACAGACCACATTTCACTTACTTACATAAACAGTAGATTGAATTAGGTTAGCTTAGGCTAGGGTAGGATAGGATAGGTTAGGTTAGGATGGGTTAGGGTAGGATAGGTTAGGTTAGGTTCCTCGTCAGGGTCGTATGGTTAATGACTCTACCCGTGTTTATTGTGGTCAGAGCCGGAGACGGTGATCCTAGGCAGCCAAGACGTGTACATCAACACTGGCAGCCGGCTGTCCCTGACGTGTAGTGTGAAGTACAGCCCACAGCCTCCTGCCTTCATCTTCTGGTACCATGATGACAAGGTAGGTGTCTCTATCTCTCTGTCTCACTGTCTCTCTCTGGGTGTCTCACTGTCTCTGGGTGTCTCTTTCTCTCTCTCACCATCACCACTACAGGAACCTTCAATATTATCTCAATCTGTCTGTCTGCCTCCCACACTCCCCTCCTTCTCTCCACCCCCTCTCTCCCTCCACCCCCTCTCCCTCCCTCCCCCAGCATCACATCATTCCGGGAACCTCATACGTCGTCCAACACAATCTGCTCCAGGAAGCCCCTCCACATACCTCATCCCTTATAGTACCCTTATACCTCGCTGGCTGGCCCTCGGTGATCACAGTGGCATTTAGCATCACAGTTATGGCATATGACAGCATTTTTTCTTCATGACAGTTGAGGTGTGACAGTATTATTTAACATGACAGTTGTGGTGTGTGACAGTATTATCTCCTTTGACAGTTATGACACATGACATTACAGTAATTACCTATATAATCTATATCAATATAATTCCATGATAAATATCGTTTCAGACAAGACTAATATAGTAAAATTTTCCTTTTTTTATAACATAACACTAACCCCCTCCCTCTTCCTCCCAGTTGGTGAGTTATGATCGAGGGCGCCGTGGTGTAGTGGTCTCGACACAAAAGGGTTCGATCACCACCTCAAGGCTCCTGGTTGAGTTAGCTGAGACCCATCACTCAGGAGTGTACACCTGTGCCCCAGCTAACTCCGAGCCTCAGAGTGTGACGGTACATGTTATAGCAGGTGAGTTGATGTCTGTCTGTCTGTCTGTCTGTATGTGTGTCTGTCTGTCTGTGTGTCTGTGTGTGTGTCTATCTGTCTGTCTTTCTGTTTATGGCTGTGTGTGTGTGTGTGTTTGTTTGCGTGTGTCTGTATCTGTCTTTCTGTGTGTATCTGTCTGTCTGTCTGTCTATTTATGGCTATGTGTATTTGTTTGCGTGTGTCTGTATCTGTCTGTGTGTCTGTCTGTCCCGGGCCACTAAGCAATATTTAACAATTTGACTGATAAAGAGAGAGAAAGATGAAGAGATATTGACAGACAGACAGACAGACAGACATGCACCCAAAAACAAGTAGATGATAGCTAAATATACACATACATTGATAGATAAATGGATAGAAATAGAAATAAATAAGATAAAGAGACAGACAGATAGAGACAGA